CCCCTGGAGAGGATCCTGGAATTCCCCTGGGGAGGATCCTGGAACTCCCCTGGGGAGGATCCTGGAACTCCCCTGGGGAGGATCCCTGAATTTCCCCTTGACAGGACCCTTCCCTTGCAGAGGATCCCGAAAATTCCCCTGGACAGGATCCTTAATTTCCCCCTGGAGAGGATCCTGGAACTCCCCTGGGGAGGATCCTGGAATTCTCCTGGAGATGATCCCTGAATTTCCCCTTGACAGGATCCTTCCCTTGCAGAGGATCCCGAAAATTCCCCTGGACAGGATCCTTAATTTCCCCCTGGAGAGGATCCTGGAACTCCCCTGGGGAGGATCCCTGAATTCCCCTGGAGAGGATCCTGGAACTCCCCTGGAGAGGATCCTGGAACTCCCCTGGGGAGGATACTGGAATTCCCCTGGAGAGGATCCCTGAATTTCCCTTGGACACAATCCCTGAATTTCCCCTGGACAGGATCCTTCCCTTGCAGAGGATCCCAAAATTCCCCTGGACAGGATCCTGAATTTCCCCCTGGACAGGATCCTGGAACTTCCCCTGGACAGGATCCTGAATTTCCCCCTGGACAGGATCCTGGAACTCCCCCTGGACAGGATCCTGGAACTCCCCTGGAGAGGATCCTGGAATTCCCTCTGTCTCCTCAAATTCCCCCTGGAGAACCAGGACCCCATCCTTGAATTCCCCCTGGTGCTGCACATCTGTCCAGGCTCAGCGCCAGCCCCAGCTGTGCCCCACAGCTGTCCCCTGCTGTCCCCAGCTGTGCCCAGCTGTGCCCCACAGCTGTCCCCCGCTGTCCCCAGCCATGCCCCAGTGCTGTCCCCAGCCCCAGCTGTGCCCAGCCGTGCCCCACAGCTGTCCCGTGTCCCCAGCACTGTCCCCCTCTGTCCCCAGCTGTGCCCAGCCATGCCCCAGTGCTGTCCCCAGCCCCAGCTGTGCCCAGCCATGCCCCAGTGCTGTCCCCAGCCCCAGCTGTGCCCAGCTGTGCCCTCACCTGCATGCTCTGGCCCTGCAGGTGCAGCCGCTCCTTGCACACGCCCTCGTAGAAGTCCAGGTACTCCATGAAGGATTTCTCCATCACACCCCTGGGGACACGGGGACACGGAGGACATGGGGACACGGTCACCGCAGCCCTGGGGACACTCGTGTGGCACCCGGGTCCTGCTGGCACGGCCGGGGAGGGGACAGAGCCGGGGGGGGGACAGAGCCAGGGCCTCCCCTGTGTGTCCCTCCTGGAGCTGTCCCCAGCCCCTCCCGGTGTCCCCAGCCCCTTGGTGCCCTCAGTCTCCCAGTGTCCCTGGTGTCCCCCGTGTCCCCAGCTCC